TTTTACAGACTAGTTTAGTCACTTCTTCCACTGGCTTTTGAGCCTTGCTCCTCTGCTTGGTCCCCAGTATCTGACTTGTGGCTTTCTCTAGTTTTCAGCATTGCCAGCAATTCTCTCCACAGTCAAAGCCCCAATGCCTACCTCATATTTCCTCCTGCATTAGGAGGGGGAGCAAGTGCTTGGAATTTAAAAAGTGAGCTCTTTGGGAGATCTTAATGCTGGTGCCATCACCCTATTCATATATAGGAAGGTCTATCAAAACCTGGTGAATATTTGGGTCCTTTGTCCAGGCTGTCTCTTCTCTGGACTCATTAGCTCCCTTTTACTAACCTCCCTGCTGACCAACTGCCGGATGTTAGCACCTTTGTTTTTCATGACACGAGACAGAATACAATTGATGAAGCTACAAGATGTGATAATACAGGTCCCCTCCTGAGGTTCTATACTGCTTACTTTAATTGTAATAGAAAATATGGGCTTCTGGAAGGTTCTCTATCATTCATATACGGATTACTTGGCAGATAGCGTTTTTCTCTGGGCAATTTTATACTAATGGAATAACACTATGGCAAGCGTCAGGGCTTCTTGTTGTCTTTTTAGAGTCCCACTACTCAGACATGCTAAAATGCTTCTTGGAATCAACACTTGGAATCACACAATTTTTGTGATTGTGTAGTATTTTCACTCGACAGCAGTGAGAATGCATACTATTATTAAATATAAAAATGGGAAAAGAGTAGTTTGCTTTGAGGAATATCCTCAATGACTGACCTAGCTGTTGCTGTTTTAGATAGTTTTGTGGCTTTAAATAAAACTGCCAACATTTGTTCTCAGCTCGCTCTCTCCGTCAGCTTCTGCGTTGGCTCCCACCCATAATTGTTCAAAAGGGGCTTCATAAATAAGTGTTGTGTAATGGCCCTGGTATGTGTCTTGGGACTCGAGGATATTATTTTTTCACCTCTCATCATATTTCATTGTGGACTATGATTTTTAGAAAAGCACTGACCCCAGCGAAGTAGCTCCCCAAAGCAGCTCTGATTATTCCAGACTTGGCAAAGCTTATGGCAAGATCTCAGTGTGCGAACCAAGAGGTGAGCTCACAGAATTGGCTGGCAGGTGGCTGTGCAGCGGGTGTGGGGGTAACAATGGAGATGCAGACCAAAGCCCATGGCTGGGGTAGGGTGGTCCACATGGGGAGCAATAGCTCACTTCTAGAAAAGTAGAATAAGCACGTGTCTTTTCCAGCCGCGCTAACTTTCTGGAGCTTATGAAATCATGCTGAATGAAAAACAAAACAGAGCCTATAAAAGTACCCAAAACGCAGAAGAGCCAAACTAACTTTCCAGTCACAAACAGGTCCATTTGAGCCAGCTGGCTTACACCTCAAGCAGTTCCCTGTAGCTCTAATTAGCTGCTTTTCTTTCCCAACTCTTAAAAGAGATCTAATCGTTTTTCTTAAAAAAGGCAGGACAAGGAAAAAAGAAAACATTAAAGTACTGTTCACTAAATTCTTGATGAATTTTGTTCCCAAAACTCAATCTGAGGACAAGACTGGGAGGTTGACTTCCTCATCGCCACTTTCTCCAGGTTAATGGATCATATTTTCAGAGAGTGAGGATCTAGGGAAAACAGCTTATATTTTTAGTTGTTTTCTTCTATGTATCTATACCCTCCCTACAAAGTGATTATGAAAAATCAACAAAGGATTATTTAACCTCAGAATTATGCTTAAACTTAGCATAGTGTTATCTGCACGTGCCAGCAAAACTGAATGAAGGCCAGCTGCTTACCGGCTTCATTACTAAACAGAGCAACACATTACCAGGGGCCAAGACTTCACCCAGAATCTAACACACTGCCTTTGGCACAAAGTTGGGGAGACTGTGAAATCTGAGCATAATTGACCCTCAGTCTGTGAGTCTCATTTTCTTGGCTCTGTCCCATAGGCACCCCACTCCCATCTTCTGCCCCTCCATCATGCTACTAAACTTACCATCTCTCTACATATTAGAGTTTCTGTAAATTCACACTTTCCATCATAACAGCCAGAATATACAAATACTTTCCAATTGACACCAATCTTAAAAAGACTTTTTTTTTTTTTAAGAACTGGATGGAAGGAGTAAAAGTTGCAAAGACTGAAACTTAAGACATTTAAAATTTAAATGGGATAAAGATCAATTTCCTTCCTGTCTGTATACCTCTCACTACCATGGTAGTGGCTGGTTTTTTGATACACACCCTATTTGTACACTTCTGGGACTCTTATAGTATTTGGAGTTACCAGGAGCTTGATTTGCATTGGGACAATGTCCGAACCTGAAATACATGGATATGTAAAGTGAAATCAGGGATTTCGTGGAGAACTCCATAAGTGAACACCAAGATTAAACACTATTTTTCCATTGGCTTTCCATGCTCATGTTCTAGGTAGCTCAACATGCTCGCTAATGCGACATTTTCACCAAAGATGGCTATGGAAGCTGGAATCTGGGTTATAGCCGGGGTTGGTTCAAATATATATTTTGGATCAAGCTCCTACTCAGAAACCTGAAAAATGCACCCTACTGGTGCACCCGACTAGGGAACACTAAATGGTGTAGAAAGAGATCAATCTGAAGGAAAACAAAAACCAACAGACACCATGAGATATGCAGAATGCACAATGTCTCATAATGTGTGTAAATTTCCCAACTGCTGGGTGATCCATAAGAAGTGTTATCTCTTCCTTCATCTACGGGCACCAGAGGATACATTCTCACATTTTGGGATCCCTTTCAGCGGTTCTCAGCCTGTGGGTCGCGACCCCTTTGGGGGTCGCCGGGTACTCGTATGTGGGCATATCTGCATGTGGGCCTGGAGAAGAACAGAGGAGCAGTGTCTCGGTTCCTAAAACCATCGAAAATATGTGTTTTCCGATGGTCTTAGGTGACCCCTGTGAAAGGTTGAGCACCGCTGCCTTAGATCATTGGTTTAGCCTTGCTCTTATTATTCATCCCTTTGATGGAATTCCGCTGTGCGAGTTCCTCCTGGAATTTCTAGTGCTGCCAGCTGTACCGCATATTTACCTTTCTGAGAGCCCCACCAAGTGGGTGAATCCAGTGCTTTCCCCCAGGCGGCATACGCTCTCTGTTGAGAGAGCAAACAGCTCTCCCCAGACATGCTCAGCTTCACCAGGGAAAGTTCCCTTTCTTCTCTAGTTGTTAGCAATTTCCCTTCTCTGTCCTTATTTGCATGTTGCCAACCTCCAAAGTAAACTTCATATCCTCTTTAGAGCCTGTCCCCTAAAGACAGTTTTCATCCTTTAAGGGACACTGCCTCCAGGACACTTAAGAGTACATAACTGGCTCCTATCTTCTTTCTGTCTCCTCAGTGTACATTTGGAGATGTTATTGACTATCCCAGTAAATTTGTGGTTCTGGAGGTATACATTTGGCTAACTGTATACTAAATAAAGATTTTCAAATCTTTTTCTCTAAGCCAAACCTTTCCCTGAACTCTAGATTCATATACTTAATGTAGCACATGCCATCACTGCCTCACTGATATCCCCTTGGCATTCATCCTCTATGTGCTGAAGACTACTAACAGGAAACATCTGCTATTTGCCACCTATGGGCACTCTCCCCACTGCCCTCCGGCTGCAAGAGAATGTTCATTCTATGCATGAGGCAAGCTAGCAGAGCTGAGAAAATTATACAGAAACAGCTTTCAAACAATGATGGTGGGGGTTTGGTGGATAACAACCCCAACGTCTAACCCCTAGCTTGTAGAATATATCCTAAGGTATACTCTACACCATCTTCTAGAGTTTACCAGTGATGCTAAACTTTAATTCCTTCACCTATAGTGGTTGTTACTGGCTCGACAAAGCACATTTTATGGGTTTCCTTCCTTTCCCAACCTGACTCTCGCACTAACCCACTGGTGTTTTCCAGGACGACCTCCAAAATACACCCCTTGCATTTGAATTCTTCTATCAGAGTCTATTTATGAGCTAACCCAAAGTAAAGCATCTAGCAAATTATGAGACTTTTTAACTTGCCTCTATCATTGACAGGTACCTCAAGAATAGTTAATCCAAGCGAATTTCATTATCTTCTATTTTCAATCTGCTCTTCCTCTTCTATGCTTAATTCTCTAGCCACCAAGTTACTCATGCCCAAATTCTGTCAAGGCCAATTCGTCACAAATCTCATCAATTCTACCTTGAGAATATTTTTCACATCTGTCCCTTCCTCTACTACTGTTCCATGTCAGGTTCTTAGCATCTCTAACTTGGAGTCTAGCTTGTTCTTTTTCTAGTTCTTTAGGGTATAAGGTTAGATCATTTATTGGAGAGTTTTCTCCTTTTTTAATGTAGGCATTTACCATTATACACTTTCTTAAAGAGAGGGAAAAATGGTGACGGAGGAGAAACCCACTTCCATATCTCCCCACAAACATCAAGGATTGTCCAGCTACTCACAACAAACAAAGCTCCTCTAGACTCCACGTAGGAAGTTTTAGCAATACCGTGAGACAACAACAAAACCAGGATAATCCACACGAGAAAGAAGCCACCTTCATTTTGCTTACATCGCCCCATCCCCACAGCCATCATGGGCGCCATATTCAGGACCAAAGCATGCCCCAGCTGGAAAAAGTTCCACCCACCAGAGAAGGACGAACAGGTGGAAGAAGCAGCTTCTCCGGCCTCCCTGGAACAAAGGTCCCGCTTTGGTGTCCGTCCACCCAGACTGGCGAAGCTGTGTCTATCGAGCCCGCTAGCAACAAGGAAGAAAAGCAGAGGCCATTATTATCAGCTGACACGCAGAGGGAGTGACCGCCCAGGTGTGGAGGTTGGCCCTGCCGCTGAGTGGGCCGCTAGCCTGGGCCCGCGTGGTCCGCCCGGCCCGCCCTGGGCCCGCCGGGAGCCTGGGGAGCGGCACAGCCCGAGTTCGCGGGGGCTGATGGGAGCGGCGCAGGGCCACGCCTCGGGCATGCGCTCAGAGGCCAGGGAGCTGCGGGAGCGGCCGCCGGCCTCCGGCCTCCGGCCTCGCGCCTCAGGAGCCACCTAGGCCCGGGGAACCAGCTTGCGTTGAAGTGAGTCCCTGTGGCTTGGGTCCCTGGAGCCACCAGGAGCCCTTTCCGGCCAGAGTGGGCCGGGATCCTGAGCTTGTGGAAGCCTGAGGCCTCAGGAACCGCGTGGGGCGCTGAGTGCTGGCAAGTGCCGGGGTTCCCCTCCGTCGGCAGGGAGCCCCCCCCCCCCCCAGTGCTGGGGAGCTTGCTCTGGCGCTGGGGCCGGCTGTCTCAGGGGGCCACAGGAAATTCGAGACCTCCTTCCATGGGAAGGGTGTCCTCTGTGGGTGCGGGGCTTGGGCAGGGGTCATGGGGGGTAGTGTGAACTTACCTTTCTTACCTCCTCTCACATTTTTTTTTTTCTCACCCAGGTATTTCAATCCCTTACCTGGAATCCTTGGTTCTTTGAAGATATTTTCGTGCGCAGATAGTTGTTCTAATTGATGTTTCTCAGGAGAGGAAAATCACTAGAAATTCCTACGCCGTCATTTTGCTGACGTCACTCCTATAGTACATCTTGAAGGTAGGAAATATATCCTTTAACCTTGTTTCCCTTTTGCAAGAGTGCTTTGGATAGCTTCCTTGCTTTCTCATATGAAATTTAAAACCTGCTTATGAAATTTTGCAAAAAAGGTGGTGGGATTTTGATTGCAATTGCAATTAATCCATGTAGCTACTAGGATAATGGGCAATTTATTCACACAATTTCTCTCTCCGTTTATTTAGATCTTTGATTTTCCTCAGTAATGTGCTTTAGTTTTATAAGTAAAAACTTGCATTTTAAAATACATCTTTAATATTTTTTGTTAAATGTATTTCTTAGTAGTTTGTTTTTGATGCTGTTATATGTGGAATTTTTATTGTTACATTTTCAATTGCTAATTATTGCTGATATAAAAATACAGTTGGGTTTTGTAAATTAATCTTTTATCTTGTTACTGTGCTTCATTTACTTATTCATTCTGGTGGTTTTTTTGTAAATTCTTTAGGATTTTTTATGTAAACAAGTATGTCATCTATAAATAGAGGGTTTTACTTTTTCTTTTCTGATATTTATGCCTTTATTTTATTTTTCTTGCCTGTTGCAGTAGTTGGGTTCTCCTGTGTCATGTTGAATAGAAGTGGTGAGATTGAGTATGCTGAACTTTTTCTAAATCCTTGGGTAAAAGTGTTCATAGTTCACCATTACGTGTGATATTAGCTACAGGTTTTGAAAGATACTCTTTATTACCTTGAGGAATTAGTTTGCTGAGATGATTTTGTTTTGCTTTTTAAATCATGAGTGGGTATTGAATGATTTCAGGTGCTTTTTCTGCATCCTTTGAAGTGATACTATTTTTCTTTTTCATACTGTTAACATGGTGAATTACAAACCTTGAATTTCTGGGATAACCCTAATTGGTAATTAGTAGTAAGTATTTTTTATATTGCTGGATTCAATTTGCTGTTACTTTAGTATTTTTACATCTGTAACATTAGAGCTCTTTTTAATTTTTGTAAAAACAGTTACCTTTTGGTATTAGGGTTATGCTGGCTTTATAAAACAAGTTGGAGTGTTTCTTTTATATTCTGGAAGTTTGTAAGTTTGGCTTTATTTTTCCTTAAATATAGAATTTACCAAAGAAATAACTGGGTCTGGAGTTTTCTTTATGGAAAGGTTTTTGATAATAAATTCAGTTTATTTAATAGATGCAAGACTATTCTAATTTTCTACTTTTGTCAGTCTTGGTATAGTAGTTTTTTTTTCAAGGAATTTGTCCATTTTATCGCTATTATATTTGTTACCACAAGTTGTTCATAATATCTCTTGTACGTTTCAATATGGGTAGGATTTGTAGTGATAATGTTACCGGGGTTTGCCACTTGGGGTGTTCTATTTAAGAAGGAGAGATGCAGTTGTGATGAGGTAGTTTTCTTTACTTGCAGCAAGTAAAGGAGACAGGACATTCAAAGCTCTGTCTCTTAAAAGGGGGCTTAGGGCCGGCAGAGTGGCACGTTGGTTAAGAGCTGATTTGGGATGCCAGAGGGCCCCAGTTCGGATCCCACATATGCGGGCCAGTGACACTGCCCTCTACAGCTGAGATGCTGAACAACAGTTCAACCTGGAGCTGGGCTGCCGTGAGTCGCCTGCTACATGTAGGCTTCAGCCCCTGCTGCAGTGGGTTGCCATGGGCTACTGTGTGCAGCCAGCAGCCAGCATGAGCTGCCATCCAGAAGCCGGCCACTGATCTGCCTCGCCCGGGAAGAGCACAATGATGGTGCCAACTTGGGCCAGTGAAGCAACGTCCTCCACAACTAGACTGAAAAATAAAAGGACAGCAACTTGTCTGTTCCCCTTCCCCCAATTCCCCAGTGCTGTTCCCATCCCCAAATTCCCCAATAAAAATATATATATATATTTTTTAAAAAGGGGGCTTAGCTACAGTTTGTATACATTATTTGGTTAATTACACGTTGATTCGTTGATTTCTTCTTTGCAGTTGGCTACACTTTCCTGGTTGGGTTCCTGTTAAGCTCATCTTGTTTACAGGTGTGTCTGTAAAATACTGGACTACATTTTCACATTTAGCAAGAATCGCGTTTAGTAAAAACTGCCCAGACCTTGAGACCCTTGTCCTATCTAACTTTTATGCCTCATATTCATAATTTGTGTTTTCTCTCAATTTTTTTTTGATCAGTCTAGCAAGGGATTTTGGATGTTATTGATCATTTTAAAGAACCAACCTTTGTCTGTCAATTTTCATATTTTCCATTTTGTTGATTTCTGCCATTCCCTTCCATTTTCTTATTTTGTTTAACTTTTTTTTCTAGATTCTTGAGTGGAAACTTAGATAATTTTATTTCTTTTTATTGTTTAACATAATACTTAAAGATAAATTTCCTATGAGCACTCTTATAGCTATATCCCATGAATTTTGGTATATTTCTCATTATTCAGTATGAACTATTTTCTGTTTTTCCTTGTGGTTTCTTTCTCAACTGACAGACTATTTAGAAATGCCTTATTTCTAATTATTTAGTATTTTGCTATCTTATTGTTAATTGCTTTCTAATTAAATTTCATTGTGGCCAGAGAACATACCGTATTTCCCCATGTATAAGATACTCCCAGGTATAAGACGCACCTTAATTTTGGGGCCCGAAATTTGAAAAAAAATGTATTACACTTCTTTTTCATCAGCAATTCTTCTTGCCTCATGCTGAACCATCTTTGTGGACATAGAAATTCCAATTGCCCTTTGCTCTTCAGTCCATATCTTCAATTCCCTCTCTAAATCTGGCCATTTTGGTGACTTGCCTTTCATGCCTTCTTCTGCCGTGGCGTTTTCAGTAGGGTTTCTTCTTCCCATAGCCAGTCTCAGATTGTTTTGTCAGTTGGAGGAGGGCCAAACTTACATTCAGCAGCATGATTTCCATTCACTTTTGCAAACTGGATCACTTTTACCTTGAATTCAGCACTGTACGAAAATCTTTTCTGAGCCATTTCTGGGCAGAACGTGGCAAAACGTAGCCTACCGTAATATACAGGTAACAAGTGCGAAACAATGAGCGCAAAGACGACAAGCGCGAAAAAGCCGGAAATGCAAGTAAAAAATAATCTACAGGGGCTGGCCGAGTGGCACGATGGTTAAGAACTGGCTTGGGACGCCAGAGGGCCCCGGTTCGGATCCCACATATGAGGGCCAGTGACACTGCCCTCTACAGCTAAGATGCTGAACAACAGCTCAACCTGGAGCTGGGCTGCCGTGAGTCACTGGCGATGGTGTAGGCTGCAGCCCCTGTGGCAGTGGGTTGCCATGGGCTACCATGTGTAGCCAGCAGCCAGCATGAGTGGCCAGCAGCCAGCATGAGCGGCCATTCAGAAGCCAGCAACTGATCTGCCTCGCCCGGGAAGAGCGCAATGATGGTGCCAACTTGGGCCAGTGAAGCAACGTCCTCCACAACTAGACTGAAGAACAAAAGGACAGCAACTTGTCTGTTCCCCTTCCCCCAATTCCCCAATTAAAAAAAAAAATCTACAACCACTGTATAAGAAACAGCCAGTTTTTAGACCCCAAATTTTTCAAAAAAGGGTGCATCTTATACATGGGGAAATGCAGTAGTCTGTGTTATTTCAGTCCTTTTAAACCCATTGAGATCATAGCACATGATCTGTCTTGGTGAACATACTATGTGCAGTTGAAATATGTTTTGTAGTTATTGGGAATAGTCTTTTACAAATATCAATTAGGTCAAGAAGATCAGCGGTATTGTTAAGATCATGTATATCTTTATTATTTGTCTATTAATCCAAATTGTTGAAATAGGTTAATGCCATTAACAACGAGAGTGAAATAGTCTGTTTTTCCATTCAACTCTGAGTTTTTTTTCATGTATTTTCAAACCCTGTTATTAGTTGTGCTCACATTTATGAGTTTAAGTTCACCCTTTTAGCATTGAGAAATATTTCTTTTGGTAATATTCTTTATTTTGATGTCTAGTTCCAGCTGATATAATAATAATAATAATAATAATAATAATAATAATAATAATGTAGTGACTGAAGCCTTCTTATGCTTACTATTTGAAAGGTCTGTCTTTTTCCATCTGTTAAATTGGCATAAACTTTCCATCTCTCTGCTAATATTACTCACCTGTAATTACATGTCGCCTACATTTTCCATTAAAGCATTTAACATATATTTATTTTCAACTCCCTGTTTGATAATTCCAACACCTGTGTCATATCTAAGTCTGCTTCTGATGATGCTTTGTCTCTTCAGCCTGTTAGTTGTTGAATTCTGACGTGCCTTGGAAATTTTTTAGTGAAAGATGGACATGTTGTTTTGGGTAATAAGAACTAATGTAAATACGCATTCAGTGTGAGGATTTATGGGAATCTGGTTTGGAATTGTGATGTTTAATGCGCTCTGTAGCTGAGATGTCAGAGGTTTCAAATTCCTCTAGTGTCCTTGTATTTGTCTTCCCTCCTGACTCTGAGCTTCCCCAAGTACCCTCCCCAGAGAGAGTCTGTCTTGCAAGCTTTCCCCTGTAATCCACTGTTACTCTACTAGAGAGCCCCGTTGATGTGGTGGTAAACGTGGGGGAGAGGGAGAACTCTGTCATTTCCTGATGACATTTCAGTGTTTTATTGAGCCTCTGTCTTGGAGCTGTGACCTTCCCAGCCCCCACCCCCACCCCATTCCCTTCCCTGACTGTAATGTTGTTCCCAGTCTGTTTCCTTGAAGCCCTGACCTTGCTGACTTTTTATTTCCTTGTTGTGGTTCGGTGAGATGGGAAGTCTAGAAATGATTGGAGTGAGGAAAATGCTTTTCTCCTAACTGAGATACGGCCTGGCAAAGTTATTTTTCATGGAGAATAAGCCTGTGTGATGGAGTATGCCATGGGTGTGTTTCAAAATGGTTATTCCCCCCGCCCCACCTCTGCCAGAGTCAGGAAGTGACCTTTCTTGAATCTTCATTGTGGGAATGTGATGGAGTTCCTAGAGATAAAACCCATGAAAATGTGCAGTTTCCAGGAGTT